AAGCCAGTTCACTAGCCGGACTAACATTGACCAATTGCTCCTAGCACGAAGTATGGTTTACCCTAAGCCACTTTGTCAAGAAAACCATGACTTGGGTTGCATCGTTTTGGATGGACCATGACCCAGGAGAACTAGCCAGCCCCAGCCCTAGCCCCAGCCCAGCAGCCATATGTGGATATTTCACTTTTATGGAAGTTAATGCGTTTCTTGAACTATTGGAAGAGAGAACTTTCCAGTTGGGGAAAAGCATTTTTAAAAGTAATAATAATATCTTAATTACTACATGTACAAGGTATACAGGCCTAGCTAACATCAATGACATGTTACTATATAAAAAGCCCCTTGTTATGTAGAGCATTTCGGGCAAATTAGGTCTGTTTTGTCCCCAGGATGCGACCCACACCAGTCGACTAACATCCAGGTACCTTTTATACTGGACACACGTCCCTAATGTTTTCCAGCAGCATCAGAGATTCGAACTCCAGACCTCAGTGTGTGAGCCGAGTGCGATAGCGGTCGAGCTACGGGACACCCAAGCAGAAAGTTTTCCATTTTTTATTGTCAGTGTTCCATACACACAGTGAAAGAATAACGTGAGGTCTGATCCCAGTGCAGTCTGCACACAACTGGTTCTTTGAGAGTTGGCAACTATATTATCCTTCCTTCCTTCCTTTCGTCGTCCAGTTCATTCTAATGAGGACATTTGAGAACTCTAGGATGATTTAAATAGATTGGTGCAGTGGTCGGAGAAGTGGCAGATGTAGTTTAATATAGACAAATGCAAAGTCCTAAATGTTGGACAGGACAATAACAAGGCCACATATAAACTAAATGTAAATCCTAATATTATGGATTGCGAAAAAGATTTAGGAGTTCTGGTTAGCAGTAATCTAAAACCAAGACAACAGTGCATAAGTGTTCGCAATAAAGCTAACAGAATTCTTGGCTTCATATCTAGAAGTATAAATAATAGTAATCCTCAGGTTGTTCTTCAACTCTATATATCCTTGGTTAGGCCTCATTTAGATTATGCTTCACAGTTCTGGTCATTATATTACAGAATGGATATAAATGCTCTGGAAAACATACAAAGGAGGATGACAAAGTTGATCCCATGCATCAGAAATCTTTCCTATGAGGATACACTAAGGACTCTGAATCTGCACTTTCTCGAAAGGCGTAGAATTAGGGGAGATATGACTGAGGTGTATAAATGGAAAACAGGAATTAATAAAGGGGATGTAAACAGTGTGCTAAAAATATCTGTCTTAGACAGGACTCGCAGCAATGGTTTTAAATTGGAAAAATTCAGATTCAAGAAGGATACAGGAAAGCAGTGGTGGATAAGTTGTGGATAAGTGCCACGATCGCACGTGCAAAGAAAATGATAGGATGGATAATGAGAACTTTCAAAACGAGAGATGCCAAGCCCATGATGATCCTTTTCAAATCACTTGTTCTCTCTAGGCTGGAATACTGCTGTACATTAACATCTCCATACAAAGCAGGTGAAATCGCAGATCTAGAGAGTGTACAGAGATCCTTTACTGCACGTATAAGTTCTGTCAAGCACCTTAACTACTGGGAACGCTTGGAAGCACTTGACTTGTACTCGTTGGAACGCAGGAGGGAGAGATATATCATAATCTACACTTGGAAAATCTTGGAAGGAATGGTCCCAAATCTGCACACAGAAATCACTCCTACGAAAGTAAAAGACTGGGGCAGGCGATGCAAAATGCCGCCAATAAAAAGTAGGGGCGCCATTGGTACACTAAGAGAAAACACCATAAGTGTCCGGGGCCCAAGACTGTTCAACAGCCTCCCATCAAGCATTAGGGGAATTGCCAATAAACCCCTGGCTGCCTTCAAGAGAGAGCTGGACAGATACCTAAAGTCAGTGCCGGATCAGCCGGGCTGTGGCTCGTACGTCGGACTGCGTGCGGCCAGCAGTAACAGCCTAGTTGATCAGGCCCTGATCCATCGGGAGGCCTGGTCATGGACCGGGCCGCGGGGGCGTTGATCCCCGGAATAACCTCCAGGTAACCTCCAGGTAAGTGGAACAGACTCCCGAGTACCGTCAAAGAAGCTAAGATGTTGTGTAGTTTTAAAAATAGGTTAGATAAATACACGAATTGGTGTGGGTGGATGTGCTAGCTTGTGCTACTAGGTCAGATGCCGTGCTCAACTGAATGCGACTGACCTGACCAGGTCAAGGCATTGGCCTAAGCCGGTGGGAGAATTGGACCTGCCTCGCAAGGGCCAGTCGGCCTTCTGCAGTGTTCCTTCTTTATGTTCTTATAAGAGAAAGTATTTATTTTATTTAAAAGTGTACTAGAGTACGTGAGACTCAGCGTCTAGACGTGGTTTTGAATCCTTCTAGATACAAGATTTGAACTAGACTCCAGTCTCTTTGGAGTAGGCTTCACACCAGTCAATCTCTCTCAAGAGAGACCACCTCGTTCACTGAGGTACACTAGGCAAGTCTAGTATACAATTTCATGATAAAACGTTAGGAAATTGAGCAGTAACCGTACACACGACAGGCAGCTTTTGCCGACCTGCGAAGAGGGGAATTATATGGGAAAGGTTACACAGTGTTGTACTACAGCTCTGTCAGGGAGGTGCGCTCAACGCGTAAGTCAGAGGTTGGAGAGGCTGGTGTTTCTAGTTGGATCACTTACGTTAATTTTAAGTAACGAGTTAGAGTCGTAAATGAATTGTTAAGAGAACCAGAAAGTTGATAAATTAGACTCGTGTGCAACACTTTAGTATCTTTATTATGGCCTGGTGGCCTGGTGGCTAAAGCTCCCGCTTCACACACGGAGGGCCCGGGTTCGATTCCCGGCGGGTGGAAACATTCCGACACGTTTCCTTACACCTGTTGTCCTGTTCACCTAGCAGCAAATAGGTACCTGGGTGTTAGTCGACTGGTGTGGGTCGCATCCTGGGGGACAAGATTAAGGACCCAATGGAAATAAGTTAGACAGTCCTCGATGACGCACTGACTTTCTTGGGTTATCCTGGGTGGCTAACCCTCCGGGGTTAAAAATCCGAACGAAATCTTATCTTATCTCTTAATGTTTCCCCACACAGTGGCTTCATGATGAAGCCAATATGTGGCGAAACGTTTCCACAAAGATACCCAAGTGTTGCATATGTGTCTAATTTATCAAGTTAAGAAAACTTTCCTCCCATCTGTCCGTGACTTGTGTTCACTGGCTTCCTTCCTCTCCCACTTCCTCTCCCGCATAAAATTCATTCCGCTTTCCTATTACTCCGAGACTGAAAAAATATTTGTCTCCGTATATCCGTTTTGTGTGTGGATGAAAGACAATATGCATGTGCAAACAGCATAAGATAAGATAAGATAAGATAAGATAAGATTTCGTTCGGATTTTTAACCCCGGAGGGTTAGCCACCAGGATAACCCAAGAAAGTCAGTGCGTCATCGAGGACTGTCTAACTTATTTCCATTGGGGTCCTTAATCTTGTCCCCCAGGATGCGACCCACACCAGTCGACTAACACCCAGGTACCTATTTGCTGCTAGGTGAACAGGACAACAGGTGTAAGGAAACGTGTCGAAATGTTTCCACCCGCCGGGAATCGAACCCGGACCCTCCGTGTGTGAAGCGGGAGCTATAGCCACCAGGCCACCGGGCCATACAGGACAACAGGACAACATTCCTGAACAGCGGTGCACAGCAGCAGTTTTTGCAAGATCATGAATAATATAGTAACTGCAATACATTTGATCTCCAACAAAAACGAGAAGCACTTTATACCGAGTGTGAAAACAGTATAAAAGTTGAGGCAGTAACGTGAAAAAAACAGGAAGAGTGACAGCAAAAAGTAGCTTGACAGTAGTAACCTGACAGGAGGACTGAAAAAAAAGTGGGAAGGTGTTGCGGCAGCTCAAGAGTGGAGCAAGTACTGGACATAACACAGACAGCAGGAGAGATGAAGAAGATACTGAGTGTGCTAGACACTTCATAGGAAATGGGACCAGACAAAATCTCTCCTTGGGTTCTATAAGAGGGAGCAAAGTATTGCAAGAACACACAAGGCCGTTTGATAAACAGTTACAAATATTTTAAGTTCTGACTCACTGAAAATAAAGTGAAGAATTGTGGAAGACCAGAAAGAGTTCTGAGGTAATCAGTCCCTCAGCCTTGATTCGATGTGATCAAACGCATATTGATCACATCAACTCCAGGCTAAGGGACTGATTACCTCAAACTTTTTCTAATCCTTCAACCTTCTTCTCTGTAATGGACTGGAGAAGCCACTGGTTGGCGAAATGTTTCCACACTGAATTACCATACTTTTCCTACGTTGCTACGTCTCCTTCCTGTGCCGAGGCAAAACCTGTGTTTCTAGTCTTTATCTGGCTTCACGGGGAAGGAAAACAATTACCAGCCGTCCCCAACATCTGTGTTGATTTTAGTGAAAACTAGTGCTGGTTGACACTCAGAGTACTCACCTGTAATCTTGTGTTGAAAGTCGTCAAGAGTAGTGATCCTTACCTGAAAAGATGAACAGATTTAGTTACGCACATACGCAAGAGAACAGCTCCGATCACCTAACTACAGACAAATTATCACAAGTATGCTTGCTCGCTTTCTCATGCTCCCTTTCTTACCCTTTGCTATAGTAACAATGTTTAATCACAGATAGGTAACAATAGATAGTAACCCACAGACATTCCTGAGAATGACAGCATTGAAAGCCAAATCTGAGTCAAAGTTTTGCTGTACAGCCACATCAGAAGAAAGATAACTGAAGGTCCTCCTTCACAGAACTCATCAGGAGTTTCAAGAAGTCTATGAGAACCTGAACAAAAGATTTGTGGAGGTATTTTCATTGAAATCAGGAACATTGCCAGAGAGTCAATGAAGTGCACCAACGAATACTGGACAACACAGACAACAGGAGAGATAAAGAAAATACTGGGTGAATTAGACTCCTCGGAGACAATAGGACCTGGCGAAATCTCACCTTGGGTTCTGTAAGAGGGAGCAGAGGAAATGTGTGAACCACTAGTAGCGATCTTCAGCAAATTCGGCTGAAACTTTGCAGCTGCCAAAGGTCTGGAAAACATCAAATGTGGTCCCAGACTCAGCATTCTCACTGTAAAATAATGGAATTTTATTCGAAATATTTATTACTGGTAAGCAGGGAATAGTTAGAAAATCATAAATTATCATTTTCGATTACAAGTTTGATAATCTAAATAGTTCAGATAAAACTTTAAATAGGTGAAAAAAAAAAAAGAGTCTCCAAATACGCCGAAATAAAAAGGTAACAGACAAGTAGCTACAAGCCAGAGTCACTAACATCCAGGATAAGGTTTCGAAAAAGATTGTCAAGAGTAGGGGAACATCTGGAAAGGATTGTGAAAGGTGTTGGTAGCAGTGAGAATTAAATTCTATTATTTTGTGTGTATCGATCATGTTTTGTTTTATGTTGTGATCGGGGACAGTACAATGTTATTGTGGTTCTGGCTTTACCTCCTACAACCATAACAGTAAATCTTATTTCATAAATATGCTAGAGTTTTAGGATAAGGTAACAAGAGTTATGCAGGAGAGAAAGATGGGTAGACTGTATATTTTTGGACTGCAAGAATGCATTTGATGCAGTACCCCACAAGAGACCGAGACAAACGCTGGAGGAGCAAGCAGGAATCACAGTGGATGAAATAATACTCAACGGGAAGGAAGCAACAAGTTACTGTCAGGGAGGAGGTGTCTGAATGGGCGAGTGTGAAGAGTGGGACTCCACAGGTAAATACCTGGACTAGAACTGTGTGTATATAAGCGACATGACTGAGGAAATGTAGTCAGAGGTATGTCTTCTCACAGACGATGTGAAAACAATGAGAATGCAACAATAGAAGACCAGATAATGCTGCATTTAGATCTATAGACAAACTGCATAACTGGTCTGACAAGTGGCTATTTAAATTTAACACCAACAAATGCCTACGTCAGGATCATCTTTATGTATGAATGGCATGTAAAGAAGCTGGAAAAAGTGCAATGATATGCAACGAAACTAGTCCTAAAGTTCAAGGGTATGAACTACGAGGAGAGGCTAGAGGAGCTAAACCGGACGATGCTAGAAGACAGAAGGACCAGAAGCGACATGATTACTTCATGCAAAATAATGAGAGGAATTGGCTAGACAGGAAGTCTGTTTGAGAACCCGGTCTGAGGTACACGAGGTCACAGCTGGACGTTAAAAGCACGAATGAGTCATAGGGTTATTTGGAAATGCTTCTTTAGCCTAAGAGTGATCAGAACGTTGAACGATCTAGAAAGCGACATGGTAGAGGCAGAATCCATACATAGCTTTAAGAATAGGTATGATAGGACTCACACAGCTAGGAGGGAGAAACCAGTAGCAGCCAGCAAAGGCGCTGGGCCAGCTGAGAATCGATCCCTGTAACCATAATTAGGTGAATACTAGTAGGCGAGTACACGAACATGTGTTCACGAGAGAGAAAACAGTATCAGCAAACTGGTTTTACTTATACATAACCAGCTTATATCAACTTAACCATACAGACAGACCCCGCTTTACGGCGTTTTGCTAATGCAGCAGTTCTCAATTACACCATTCTTCATTTTTTTCAGACTTCCTAAAATATATTCACCACCCACTATAAGCAAATGACGGAAACATTTTGTGTAACGTGTATACTGTATATGCATTTTTGAGGCCTAGGGCTATTGCTAACTTAATATATGACAGTGTAAGCGTGTTAGGCTTTTTTCACTATACAGCGATTCTCGCTTTACAACAGTAGCCCAAAATCTAACCTGCTGAATAAGCGCGACTTTGCTGAATACAAATTTAAACTTACACAAACGAAAACACGACTTTTAACAAACCATAAAAAGAAATTAATTCCGTCTTGTAAAATAGGTCTCAAACTGGAGAAAATATGTCATAATTTTCAATTATTTGATCGTTTTCACAAAATTCAACATATCTACACAACATAAACATGTTCGAGAGTAAAGGAATTAATATTATTATTACTAATAAATTTTATTATTTTTGTGGGAAGGTGTTTCAAGTCTTGCAAATTCTGGAGAATGGGAGGAACTCAAGTTTGATCCAAGAAAGTCGAGAGGCAGCTTATATTCTTTGGATCAAGAACCGTTCACTGGCATCCAGACAATGCCTTTCAAAAGAGTCTAGTTCATTAGGATGTATTTAAAGTAAGTTCGTGCGAGAGCTGAGTGGGTCCTACAACGACTTTCAGTTGAATTATGAAGGTAAAGAGGATTATCGAGCCAGTTAGGCAGCAGGCAGTTAATGACTCGACTAAGAACATACGAACTTAAGAATGGAGGAGCACTACAGCAGGCCTACTGGTCCATACAAGGCAGGTCATTCTTAAAAATAACCATTCCCAATCACCCACTTGTCCAACTTCTTTCAAAAGTTACCCAAGCATTTGTTTCAATACCTTAGGAACTAGGTATCCTTCACATAACTACTGAGAACCTGAGAAACATCAGCGACAGATGTGGCCACAACAACAGCCTCTGTTCCAGCAGCAGTAGTTGCCACCACAGCAACAGCCGCTGCCACAAAAATAGAATAAACATCTGCCACACTAACAGTACTCACCGCACCAACTAAATGCGGTTAAAGGAATTAGAGAATTAATAGTAACCAATAAAGAATGCATAAAAAATAAAGTAAAAAAAAATACAAGAGAGCAAAGTATATCTGATTATGGAACAACATGTAACAACAACAAGAAAACAGAGATTAGCCAATATGAGTGAAGAAAATAGTGTTTAGAGAAATATAACAAAGATCAAAATAAATTACAAGGTGTACAATCGGATACAGATAATTATCAGGAAAAGTCGAAGAATTATTTTTAATATATGGCAAGAACAAGACCGACGGATGAAAAGACCTTACCACGAGAATATACACAAATTATTAGAGAATAATCTGAACTAGGATTAAATAGCGATTAACAAATTAGAAATATCCTACATGGGACCAAAAGGTATACCTACTAGCGCAATTAAAGTACTGTTACTGTATTTGGCCTGTTTCTAACTATTCTAGGTCCTATAACGATGTCATTTTCTGCTAAGATTATTATTATTATTTATTTATTATTAAAGATTCGCCGGTATTCTCCCGGCCCGGGCCTTTTCCAAGTGGTGGCCCGGCCTTGGCTCCCTCTTTAGGGACTGTCTGAGACCTAAGTCTCCCATGGGAGGAGGCACAAGTACCTCCTCATCTTTGGGACCAACTGTCCCCAGGCCTAGCCACAAGCTAGGCCTCTTTGGTCTGTCATCCCCGCCACAAGGAGGCTAATGGGAATGACAGTCTTATGAGCTAAAGGCTCGGGCTTAGGCACCTACCCTACCCTAGAAGGGTTAGGCATGGTATCGATGAAGATTGTTGTATACTCTGTGTAACTACTTAAATCTGTCTAAAATGTGAAATATTATATACAAGTATTTATGTAAGCGGTTATATTAAGGGCAGCTTGTTTACACTATAAAAATAAGTTTCCACAATTATACTTTTATGGCTAATATGTCTAATGGTCACTATATGCACATTTTTTAGGGGCAGAAATTTTATAGTTACCTCTCTATTTAATTCATTCTATCCAGACAGAACACCGACACTCTCCTGGTAATATAAATATATATATATATCACTTTCACACGCGTCTGATCACCACATTCACCTCTACCCAAATAAACGCCAGCGATGGAAGGTTATGGGACGACACCTCAGTGAAACAACTCACCAGTAGGGTTGTAATCTCACGTTTTCCTTTCATTTTACAGCCTCGTTATTCGGAATCGGAATCTGATCTACTCATTTACAGATATATGCAGGAATTCAGTTTTTTTAAAGATAAACTATTTTGATTATTATATATATTTGCAATACGGTTGCTGTAAATTCCTTGTTTAGTGAAAACGCCGTTGCTCTGGTTGCTCAGTTATACTGTGTCGAATCTTTAGAATAGTGAAACCAGTTTAAATTGACTCGAACCAACGAGAGTAAACCATGAGCAATGTGAGTCAATACTGTTTATATTGTGTTGGTGACCATCGAGCTAACAGCAAAAACAGGGACTCAACAAAAACAACTTCATGCTGTGAAAATACTAGCTTACTCTATTAAATATCCGTGGATCACTGTCTGGGAAGACAGTTGCATACCTACTTGGTGCAAAATTTATAAAGGCTACGATATTTACACAGACCTCAGACATCTTTTTTTTTTTATATTTTATTTAAAATACAGTATACATTATACGTGTAAGCAAACATGTCACTAAACCAATCAACATGTAACAACAATATTAAAGTACAACATACGTATATACAATCAAAAAAGAAAAAGAAACTTCGCACAGGTGTACCAACAACATATCCAGAGAATCTACTTCAGCACACTTAAACATCTTATGCCAAGTTTTATATACAAAACAATTCTTAAAGGTAAAAACCTCACCACATACCATTAAAACCTATACATCCACCCCCCACCAAAGGTACATTTATAAAGTCGTACATATGTGCTCTGGAAGTAAAAGGTACCCCCCCTCCCCCCTCATCAAATACCTACAAAACAATAACATACTATAAGAGTGCAGGATACTACTTGCTCTAAGTAACAATTATGAAAACTTTGCCTAGAATACAAGGATAATATACTCTATATCTCAACACGGGTGCAATCCACCCAAGACTTCTTCATACACTATATACCCTATAGCAGTATTAATACATAATATACACCGCTACTTGAACTCATTTGCATACCTGATCCAACAAAGTCATCTAAAATTGTGTATTTACACAAAATCAATATACATTTTTATATTACCTTACATATACTCTTATATGTGACTTTAAACATTAAAATAGCAAAGAGAAACCAACAGCGTGTACTTAAAATATATAACACTACCCTGTACATACAGTGTCACACGACATGTACTATATAATCTTAACCAGGCCGCTGAAACATTATATGTTAGGCCTTATGTGCCAAAATACAATCTCGCATAATATAAAACTGTACCACGTTACTCATTACAGTTATTTAAACTTCGAACCTTCAGATATACAGAAATTGTGTCTTACAGAATGCATCCTACAAGAAGGGAAACCCCGGACTTTGTATCACAGCATATTCAATACAGTCATATGGCATACCTTAGTAACACCACGTAGTATGTGCTTTCTATAACATCTTTGCCTCTTCAAGGGGGGCTCCTTGGCGTGGTGAAGAGGCTCTTGGTCTGAGGAATTAGCCCTGTCGGTCTTCTTCCTCAGACCGAACCTAATTACCCCCCATTCTCCCCTCCCCTATCCCATCCTCCCCATCCTCCCCTTTTTCCATTCCTCCTCCTCCTCCTCACCCCTCCCTTTTGCCCTTCCTCTTTTTAGCCTTCGTGATTTCTCCCACAGGCGCGCTAGTTCCTAGGTAGGGGAAAGGACACCGGGGTCCATCCCATTCCGTTGAGGTTTCTTGGCGGTGGCGTAGTTTGCCGTGGAATCTGGATTGCCTAGGGATGTCCCGATCCCTCTCCGGTATCCCGGAGTAGCTTTGGGTGTCTTTTGGGCGACGGGTGTATCTCTGGAAGCCACCTTTCGGATTCCGGGGGTGGTGGCTGAAGGAGGTATGCTTTGTGGCGGATGTCCGGCCGCCCTCTCTTTTGTCCACCGAGGTAGCTCGGCAGATGTGAGGTTGCTATCCCAGATTGCTGGTTTACTGGCATGAAGGGTAGGGTATGGCACGGGTTCCATGCTGCATCTGCACTACTAGCGGTGTCGAGTCCTCTTGGGCGCGGAGGGAGATTTCTGGCCCTTTCATTCCTCCTAGGAACTATCCCTCCCCGGTCCCCCCTTTTTTTTTCTTTTTTTTATTTTTATTTTCTTTCTTCTTTCTTTTTTTTTCTTAAAAACAAAAAGAAAGAAGTAACCTAACCATGGCAGCCCTAGTCCATGAACCTGGTACCCCGGGCCCCTTCTTGATACCGCACCCCGTTCCTGACCCCGCCTCGTCTTTGGCCCACTCTTCAGACATTCCTCATGCCTCTGTACCTATTGCCGGGTGCTGTTTCCTCACCCGCTTCAGGTACTGAGGCCTCGACTGACTCCTTCGATTTATCAGACCTTCGCTCTCCTCTGACTATGCTTCCGGCCTCTCCCTCACGGTGCGGCAATTTTCAAATCGCCGACCCGTTCCACGTCGGACCAACTCTGGTCCCACGCCTAAAACGTCAACGACAATTACCTGCTGATGATACTTCTCCACCTTCACCTTCTCGTTCTTCTCAGAAACGATCGACACGTCCTTCACTACCTTTCCACGCTCAGTTTCAGACTGAACAGTGGACTAAATTCTTCACTTTACGACCAACTTCCTCTACTGCCTATCTTTCGAACCATAGTATTGGCAAGGCACTCCTACGCCATGTTGGTAAAGATATTTCTTTTCATGCTCTTAAGAGCGGTACGCGCATCATTACCGTACAGAATGCTACCCAGGCTCGTGAGCTCTCTCGTCTTTCCCATATAGATACTGTTCCTGTCACCCTTGAAAAACATCATTCCCTCAATTCTTGTAGTGGTACCGTTATTCTGCCCCATACCATAGTTCAACAAAATTTCCAGACATGTGGCACCGACATTCTAGAACAGCTGGAACTCCAAGATCTCCCAATCCTCAAGGTAGACACTTACGTTCTTCCTGCCCGTGGGCGGAGACGATACCCTAGCAATGTGGCTCGCTTAACTTTTGACAGCCGAGAACTCCCATCCTCCGTTTATATAGCAGGACATCGGTTACAAGTTCGAAAGGTGATCCCTACACCACAACAGTGTAGAAATTGCTGGCGATTTGGCCATCCAGCGAAATATTGCAGATCTATCGCCGAATGCCCAGTCTGTGGTGCCGATGACCATTCTAATTACGTCTTGCAATCGATCTCCCTCTTGCCTTAACTGTCATGAGGCTCACCCTTCGTACTCTCGCCGTTGTCAGGTCTATTTAAACGAGCGGGAAATCCGTTACCTCAAAGAGACAGAAGGTCTCCCTTATGCCATGGCAGTTTCTCATCTCCGCCTCCAAGGGAGGACTCCCACGTGTTTCCTTATTCCCGTGTTTCAAAACGTCCCCCCACTTCTGGTATCCCATCTTCTACACCCACCTCTGTGGTTACCTCTCCCATAATCACTCCTGTATCTAATCCTTTTGCTGTCCTCGGCTCAGACGTCCCTACTTCAAACGCCTCAGTCTAATCTCGCTTCTTCGAGTTCTCTCTTACAAGCCTCAGTATCGACGAGACCTCGTACGACACCTCTTCCCAATCGTCCCTCTACTTCTCAAAAGTCAAAAAAAGGTCCGGTAACACCTCCTACCCATCTTCCACCTCCTCATTTTACCCTCCCTGTCTCTGTCCCTAGTTTTTCCCTCTCACTGGCTCAGTTACAAGTGCAGAGGTTCACCCTCCTCCTCGTAATGTACCTTCCTCCCCTGTTCCCTCCCAAGTTTCTTCCTCTTCTGCCACCTCCCAGGTTCCTGTCTCTTCTGTCCCCTGCCACGCTTCTACAGTTCCCTCCACCCTTTCGCCCCCCCCTACCTTGGTACAGTCCAATACATTTTCCAATCTTTACTCATCCTCCCCCCACCATTCCCATATTGTCTCCCAAAACGACATCTCTGAATTCCGAAACACTTGAAGCAATCTCTGAATATATTGCAGAGACCAAACCGTCAATGGACACTGATCCACCTTCCGCTCTTTCTCTCTCCTCTGCTCCATCTGCGCAATTTCCTTTCTTCACAGCGCACCGTTCCTTCGCTGCTTGAACATTTTCCACTGCCTCCGCATGGGACTTTTCTAACCCTTCTAGTCCGTAGGAACCCTTACCTGCGGATTTCAAGTATCTTTATCATTGCCAATCATGGCCTTTTTACAGTGGAATATACGCGGCCTCAGGGGTAATCGGGGTGAGCTTCAGATGTTACTCTCCCAGTTTGCCCCTGTTGGTGTTTGCTTACAGGAACCAAAATTACACTCTGCTGTTATTTCTCACATCTCAGGCTATAATTTATTGTATTCTTCAGATCCTTTTCCTGATGGGACCTTTAATGAAAGTGCCCTTCTTCTCCGCACTGATATTCCGTACCATCAGCTATTTATTCATACTTCGCTGCATTACACAGCAGCCCGTATCCACTTACATAGGTGGTATACGCTCTGTTCTTTATATCTCTCTCCTTCTCGGGCATTATCTATTCCGGATTTTGCCTTCCTTGTTTCGTCATTACCGCCACCGATTCTGTTACTTGGTGATTTTAATGCCCACCATTTCCTCTGGGGAGGGTCTCACTGTGATTCCCGTGGAATTCAGTTAGAGGCTTTTCTTGCCACCACCCCCTCCATGTTTTAAATACAGGTACTCACACCCATTTTGATTCCTCGGACTCATACTCTCTCTTGCATCGATCTCTCAGTTTGCTCTTCCTCCGCCGCATTAGACTTTACTTGGTCTATTCTCCCGGACTTACATGACAGTGATCATTTCCCAATCATTCTTTCTTCCCCTTCATATTCGCCACCTCTTCGCACCCACGCTGGCAATTTAATCGGGCAAATTGGAACCTTTACTCACACCTGACTGTTTTAAAGAGGTTCCTTCTTCGTCCTCCATCGATGAGCTTTTACACCTCTTCTCGTCCTCCG